TGGTGCTGTGGGTTAATGCACCAGACTGTAAAGCCGTTTGAACTGCAAGGTCAGTGGTTCAAGCTCACCAGCTGTTCCTCGGAAACCCTATGCAGGGTCGCTATGGGTCGGAACTGACTCAACGGCACTTAACAACAACAATTAGATAGCCGATGCCTAAGTTGACTCCCCCTATCAAGCCTGAGGGGATAGGCTTAATCCTTGATGTGAAGACGTCTTCCCTTGGTTGGTATTTTGAGTTATTACATCCATAAGTCCTGGTGTGGCGCTGGGAGTTAATGCGCCACACTGCAAAGCCATTTGAACTGCAAAGTTAGCGGTTCAAGCTCACCAGCTGCTCCTTGGAAACCCCATCCAGGGTTGCTATGGGTCAGAACTGGCTCAGTGGCATTTAACAACAACACATCCGTAAGTAAAGGTCAAGTTCATCAAATTGTAGCAATTTACACTTGTTTCCTCTGTATCAAATTTCTTTATCGTCTTCCAGTCGAGTTCTAATCATCAAGCCATCCAAGCTACGTCAGATGGGTGTTGTTGTTGTTAAGTGCCGTCAAGTCGATTCCAACCCATAGTGACCCTTTATAGGGTTTCCAAGGAGCAGCTGGTGAGCTTTTCAGTTTGACACATTAGTTCACAGCGCCACATCAGATGGTTACTATCTGCAATTTTAGGCGTTCTTGTGCCTTTCCTCACTTCATATCAGCTGGACGCTAGCTGCAGAGTCTACTTCAGTGTCCATAGGCTCAGGAGTTCCCAAGTCTTCCCAGACTTCAGACCACCCAGCCCTTCCTCTTCTCTCTCTCATCTTCAGGTCTACAGGAGTCTATGGAACATGGTCAAACTCAGCCCATATCTTCATTACTGCCTTTCCGCCACTTCCACTCACAAGTAGACCAGTGTGGTCATCAGCGAGCTTACAGACCTGCTTATGTGTTCCCTTTGAGTTTCAGTCTTGGAAGGGAGTTTGTCCTGAAGGGACTTGATAATTTTCCTTGATGGCTCCCAGGCGAACAGCTTGCTTGTTCTTGCAATTGCCAAACAGTCTGCTGTTTTATTTTGTTTTTTATTTCTACTGGTCTTTCTTTCAAGAAATATCTTCTGTTCCTCTAGCCAGTCCAGGTCGGTCTGCATGTCCTTTCAAGTGGGATTGTCCCATCTCAGAAGGCTCTGGATGGGGCTCAGCATTTCCACCTAAGGTCCTATCTTCTACAAAGTTTCCTCAAGAAGCCCATTTTACTGGGCAAGTTCTAGAAACCCTTTAGGTATTTCAATCAGTTGTAGGCTGAAGATGGTGATGCCTGATGTTTAAATATTTCCCTTGGGTACTCTTTCTGAACACCATATTCTCTTTTTCTGCTTCCATTTAGCTTAGTGATTGTTTGATGGTCATTTTTAGTGTTTTCACTTATTTTTTTCTTCTAAATGCCTTGCAGACAGTTTCCTCTACTTGCTTACCTTCCGTATACAAAATCTGAGGTCAACAGTGTTTTCCCCATAATTAAATATAATAGTCATCCAGTTTTGTCTGAAACGTTTTTCTTCTTTCCTCTGGAGATAACTTTTGTACTTTGTTTCTCAACTATTCTCTGTTTCACTTTTCTATATTTTCCCATACTTTCCTTTCTCTATTGTGATCCTTTGAAGTTCTTACAGTTTTTTCTTCTTTTTTGTTACTTTAGCTATATAAGGTCATAGGTTTTAGTATAATTCTACAGGTTCTTTTTATCCTTCTTGGTTCCAGTTAAGAACCCCTGGTGACGTAGTGGCTAAAACCTGTTGGCTGCTAACCTAAAGACCAGCAGTTTGAACCCATCCAGTGCTCTACTGGAGAGAGAAATGGCATTCTGCTCCCAAAAAGATTTGCAACCTTGGAGAACCCATGAGGCACTCTGTCTAGTAGGGTTGCTTTGAGTCGGAATCTACTTGATGAACATGGGTTTGTTTGCTTTTTTTTTGGTTAGGAGCCCTGGTAGTGTAGTGGTTATGACTCAGGCTGCTAACCTCAAGGTCAGCAGTTTGAAACTACCCGCCATTTCATGGAAGAAAGATGATGCTTTCTGCTCCTGTTATAACCTCAAAAACCCTAAGCAAGTTTGCTATGAGTCACAATTGACTCCATGGCACACCACAACCACCATCACCATGTAATTGTTGTTGTTGTTAGGTGCCATCGATTCAGTACTGACTCATCGTGATCTTATGCACAGCAGAATGAA